TTTATGATTAAGTATGATTTTTATCTATAGATTTTTCATATATGTCCTTTATAAGACATAAGTAATCCTACTTTATTGAGAATTTTTATAAGAAATAAATTTTGGGTTTCATTACTTCTTTTGTCTCTAATGAGACAGTATATTATAAATTTTAGTTCTTTTGTATGGTGGATTATATGGATTGATTTTTTAAAAACTATATTTTATTACTATATATTTGTAATACATAATAGGTCATTTATAATGGGAAATTGGTACCTATTTATCACACCGAGATCCTTTTTACTTCTCCTCTCCTCCCTCCCATCTTCCCCATCCCCAAATTCCTTTCCTATCTCCACAAAGTCTATCTCCCTGTTTCTTATCATCTTGCTCTTTAAATTATTTATACTTTGGGTATAAATAAGAAAAACCATATGGTATTTAACCTTCTGTGCATGATTTATTTCACTTAGAATTATGGTCTCAATGTGTGTCTATTTTTCTACTAATAACTCAAATTTATCCTCTTCAAGGACAGGAGAGAGAATGAGAGGGTCTTGGTCTCTTCCCTGTCACTGGGAAACAGTATCTGGCACCTACAACTTAAAGGAGGAGAAGTTGCTATGGCTCATAGTGTCCAGTGGTTCAGTCCAAAGTTGTCTGGCATCAAGACATAAATGTGTGGTGGAGGGAATCTGTTTGAAATACAAAAACATCATGTTCTCTCTGTCCAGGCTGTGAGAGCCCACCATAAGGCCATCACTCAGTGGGAAAGCCTGCTTCCCACCATGGAGCAGTCACCTTGAAATCTGTAGTTCTAACGGATTTGTGGCACAGTCTGTCCCTACTTATGGTTCAAGGTTTCTCTTTCTTGAATGGGCATCTGTGTTGGAGGAGGATCTTCTGAGTCCTTTTAAGGAAGATTAATCAAGTGGACAGAGATGCGTGCACTCACCTTCCTTCTACAAGCCAACCTGCAGAACACAAAAGAGATCCAGTGTGTCCTCCACCTGTTCTTCACTGTTGTCTATGCTTGGGGATCCACCGTGACAGGATGGGGGACCTTGTTTCGAGAGGCTTCCTCTCCTGCACTTATATATATTATTATAATATTTAAGTCTTTAGTTCACATCTCCTTTTAGATGGCTAATAAAATTCAAGTTCATCATGGTCAAAATGCAACTTTCAATTTTCAACTTGTCCACCCCTCAACTTGTCCCCCCTAGTCCTGCCCCTTCCTTCCCTTCAGGAAATGGAACCATCACCATGATCCACCCAGGTCCACAGCCCATGGACCTAGCAGTCACCTTGTGTTTCTCTCCACTGCTATTCCCCATGTCCAGCTAGACCTCCAACACATCCCAAATTCATCGGCTTCCTTCTACCTCTCTTCTTGCCCCCGGAAGTTTATGCCATCACTAAAATAAACACCCAGATGACCCTTGCTTCTGTTCTGTGTCCTCTGTAAGACTCCATATAGTAGTTGGAATGATCTTTGGAAACACGAACCAAGCTGTGTCATTTTCTGGTTCAAAACCTTCCCATTGTTTCTTTGTCACACTCAGAATAGACCCTACATGGATCTCTGAAACCTGTCCCCTGCCAACCTCTTTGAAGTCATTGGGTATCCATCATTCTCTTTACTTCACTCCAGCCTCTTCAGCTTCCTTTCTGTTCTATATGCCAAGATTGTTTCTACCTCAGGGCCTTTGTACATGCTGATTTCTCTATCCTAAGTTCTCTTGTATAGCACCCCCTGCCATGCACACTGACTTCCATGTTCTATTTTGTCATGGGTATTGTTAGTACCTAAAATTATTTTTACTTGTTGTTTGTTCGTTAACTTATTTATTGTAATCTACCCTCTAGGTCCAAGTATAAGTTGCATGACAGCAGGGACTCATTTTTGTTTATTCTTTTGTTTCTGGCATGTGAGACAACACATGGATGAATGGATGCTTTGCAAGAAGTTTTAAAAACTTCTTACTCCACGCCCTGGAGCATGATCCAGGTTTCAAGAGAACCCTGATTTCCCTGTCTCCTTGGAGGGGAGGATGGTGTGGTGATTGAGTAGTGCAGATGAGTGGACTGGGTATAACCACGGAGATCCAGTCTTTTATAGAAAGACCAAACACTTATGCATCAGCACCTAAGGAGTTTTCCTGCCTCCTAATAAGTGTCAATGATTTACCATATAAGAAAATTTTGTAGATAAATCTTAGTCCAGGAAAGGAGTGGGCTAGAAGGTCTAGTTTTCTCCTGGAATCGAAGTCAAGAGTATTTCTGACTACCAGGCAGAGGTGGATGATGCTGAGAATTTAGAGTTCTTCATTGAAGGCTCTTCTCCAAGGCTCTGAAGGGGATCTGGTGATTTTCTTGTGTGGCCATGTAAATATGTACAATGTTAAAAGTAAGGAATAATTTTGCTTGTCAGCCAGGATACTACTTCTTTCCTTCAGCTTTTAGTACTGTTTGGGATTTCAGGGCAGTGTTGGGTGTGTCGGAAGGCTGTAGGCATCACTATGTTGGCTGGTGTTGGCTGGTGTCAGAAGGCTGTAGGCATCACTATGACTTACTGAGGGGAAGTTGGGAGAAAAGTGCATTTGGTGGAGTTGAGTGAGATTTGTTAATGTGACTCACTATCTGCTCCATGTATGGTTAAATTGTAATGGGATCCTGGCTAGGAAGGTCTTCCAGGATCATTTGTACTACAGACTGTACTCTGGCAGGGATCAGAGATGAGATCCCATATGAATATGTCTGCTATTCTTTGGCAGCAGGAAATCATGGATAAGGGAGGAGAAAGATGAGGCCAGAAACTAGTCTGTGGAAAATGCTTATAAGGATGAGATGTTTAATTTATAAATGGTTGTTTTTCATTGGCATTTAGTCAAAATGAAGTTCTCTCCTATAAGAAACTTACTTGACCATGCAGCATACACAATTCAAAGTGCCCCTAGGTGAAGAGAATGAAATAGACTCTATGAGCGCCTCTGCATTCCTAGGGTGCAGACCTGTACCAGTTCTACCGACAGGATTACATCGGCAGGAAGCCTCATATCCTGTGCAGCCTGAGATCCCTTCTTAGTATGCTTGACTTGTCTTAATAATGTACCAGACACATCTGAGCATGAGTGCTGCTTCCAGGAGAAAGGAAACCTGAAATTATCTCTAATGCAGCCAAGTAGCCTGGAGAGACAAATATTACAGAGACGTTTCTGTACAAACTCATCAAGTCCCTGTTTGTAGTTTAAGAATAATTTAATTAGGTAATTAAGTAGCTTAATAAAACATAGGGCAATTTAGAAATGTACTTGGATTTCTCTTGGTATGTTTTAATTTAATATGCCAAGATGAATTTTGTATATTTTTTCAGAATTATTAATCATCCATGAATTTAAATTTTGTAAGCAGAAACTGTTTCAGTGGAAGTCAAAAATGTAAGTGGAAGGAAAATAACACTGGCTGAGATGCTCATTGTCAAAAGATATCCTCTTAGTATCACAAATATAAATAAAACAACTGTTAGCCAAAATCATGGAGATAAGGAAAGAATCATGATAGATGAGAATATACAGGTAATAAAATTGACAAAGAGATAAAAAGACAATTATGAAAATCAGGACATTCCTAAACAGAAAGCACAAAAGTGAAAGATGAAAATAACGGTGAGGAGTAAGATAATTTGTACTTGCAGCAGAACATACACAAAGGTCAATGGAGGCTTTGTCTTGATGAATTCCTTGTGCCATATTATTGTATTTTGTTAAAATGAGGGGTAATTTCATTCAACTTGATTCTGTGAATGATCAATAGTTTAAAAAAATAACAAAATGCTTCACATGACATACAAGAACATCAATGTCGAACTGGTTTATGAATGTTGTCAACTTAAAAAGACTTAAGATTAATCTCACATAATAAAAGATGAAGTGTTGTGAAAAGCTTACAGATCATGTATGGAAGAAAGTTTATAGAAATTTCCCCAAGTTTGTTAATACAGTAGTCCCCCCTTGACCAAAGTGAGTAGGTCCCAGGACCCCCAGTGGATGCCTGAAATTGTAGACAGTACTGAACTCTGTATTTTCCTATGTATACGTAATGGGACACAATTTGATTTCTGAATTAAGCACAGTAAGAAATTCTCAACAATAACTAACAATAAAATAGAATAATTATCATAATATAACAAAATAACAAAAGGCATGTGAATGTGATCTCTCACTTTCTCTCTCTAGTATAAGTATCCTTCTTATGATGATGTGAGCCATCTGATGGCTACATGATGAGATAAAGGAAGGTCATGACATAGGCATTGTGTTATAGTGTTAGGGTTTGAGGCAAGACTTGCTTAAACTCGAGTGCTGCAACATTGTGACCATCCATCTGATAACAGAGATGGACACTAAATGACTAAGGGTAGTGTCATATGGGGCACGGACACGCTGGACAAAGGAGTGATTCATGTCTCAGGTGGGACATACGCAGATGGTGGGAGACTTCATCACACTCCTCAGAACACTGTAATTTAAAATGCATGAATCACTTATTTCTTCAACTTTCCGTGTAATATTTTCTGACTGTGGTTGACATGGGTAACTGAAACTGTGGGAAGCAAAACCAAGGATAAGGGAAACTGCTATCACCCTGAAAACTTACATAACTTTCCTTATAACAAGTTTTAGAGATGAAACTTTTTCAAAGCTGTCTATAATGAAAATGAACTAATGTCAGGGTTCATGCTGGGGAAAGAAGGACTCACTCGTCTTTCTGTTCTCTCTGTAGAAAATATGTGAGATTGTTGTCATGTGAAGAGGTGATCAAAGTAGGCAACCAGAAATGTGGGAGAAAGTTAATAAAAATAGAGTTTTCGACTTCACTTTATTTTTCTTTTTGAGACAGAGTCTCCCCAGTTACTAAGTTGCCCAGGGTAGGCTTGAATTTGCGATCCTTCTGCAATAGCCTCCCTGAGTACTAGGATTACAAGTGTGTATTCATGTATTCCTTTTCTTTACTAGGACCCTGAAGTAACAAACCGTATGAACTTTAGGCCATAGGAACCCTGAAGTTGCTTCATTCCCAGGGACCGGAAGTTGTCATGGGGGCTTCTATGGCCCTTGAGAGGAAGAACATGGGATGCAACGCTCTTCTAACAAGGCCTAGAGACCAAGAGGGTAGGAATTTTTTCATGTAATGTACTATATAAAATTTACATTTGTTGAAACAATTAGCTACTCTTTGACCAACATGAGCTCTCTTACTCTATGACGTTACCAATGCAGATCATAAAGAAAGGAGCTTCTCACCTACCTATCTCAGAACACTGTTTCTGTTTCCTGGTATACTGGGCTGTCCTCCCCATTTCCCCCCACCCTAACGCATTTTCTCCTGGAATCTCAAAACATGACTGCTGGGTGTTGGGGGCAGGGGCAGACAGTGCTGCCACAAACCAAGGAATGCCTGTGGGCACCAGATAAAGAGAAATTCATTCCCTCCTGGAGTGCTGGGAGGATGGCCCTGCCAACACTCTGATGCCCCACTTCTAAGCTCTAGAACTATCAACACTCTAATGTTCCATTTCTAACCTCTAGAGCTGCCTGTGAAGAGCTTTATGTTGTTTCCAGCCACTAAATATGTGGTATTTGTTATAGCTGACCTTGAAAACTGATACACCTGGTAGCTGGTGTACCTTGGGTGAGATGGGGCGGTGCTAGCAAAAAATCTCTGTTCCCTCATTCCTCCATTCTCCATTTTGCTGAAAAATAAAGATTCATGTGCTTTTATTACATACAAACTTTTGTAAAGACCATGATGAGGAATAGAAAGAGCAATCTGACACAACCCTGACCTCCTGGAGCTTATGAGCAGGTAGAGAGATGGGCGTGGATTGAAACATAACTGCTTCTCAGGGGAAAAAAAGCAGAGTAGGGTTTAAGACCACATTTCCTATGGCTCTTCCTATGGTGGCCAGATAACTGGGTATGGGGGCATGAGTATAGGATTAAGTCAACAGTAAACTGGAGAAAGGCTTAGTGCAAAAGAGGAGAGGGAGGGAGGGAGGAGGAAATGGACTTTCAACATTTTTCATGAAGATGAAACTCTGAAGATGGGAAAACAATGTCTAATAATGATCTTGCACAAAGATTTTTGAGTGAAGTGGTGTAGAAATTGTCTGGGGTTGTGTTTTTGACAAAACCAACAGTAAATTTCTCCAATATTATCCAGAGCTTTTAGAGTGAGACTGATGCTTCTTTGGGGTGACCCCTTAGAGACACCTGAGGGTCATGAGGCTTTTGGCTTTATGTGAGTTACCTATGGAGATCAACATTCGTAACAGAAGGTGGATGTGAGCTTGGCAAGAGAGGCACTGCACCAGGGCAAGAGAGAGGACAGAGAAGACAAAGCTGTGCCCTATTTGGGAATTAATCCTTGTTTCCCTAGGGTTCCCCTCGAGCTGATGCAAACTCCCCTCAAAGAGGTAGTTGGTTGCAGAGGAAGCAGCGATTTCTCTGGTGGTGATTGTGACAAATGATACTAATACTGGTTCCTTCCCCTCTTTTTCTCACCCCACCAGCCACAAGCAGGAAACAGGTAGAGCCCACCAGCTGTAGAACCTGCTCTTAGACTCTTAGCCTCCTCAAAGCATCACAAAACCCCCTACCTATGTTTCTTTCTCCATCAGGCATAACCTCTGTGTGGCCCTCCCAATCTTCCTTCCCATTAGCCCTCCTTTCTACTCTTGGATTTCATTTCCATAGGATCTAAACACATCCTTAGGTGCTAATGCGGTATGTTATTTCTGAGATTTATATTTTATAAAGTACACCATAAAATTCAATCCCATGGCCCAGGTGGTTTAGAGAATGTTTCACATGTTCACTTCTTTGGGATCACGGAGGAGGGGCTAGTCTTGAGAAAAGAAAACAGTCCTTTTACATCTTGGCCAAGTCCCCAATGTACAGTTTGACCACAGTGCAAAAAGACTCCTGAGTGGTTATGGCCAGTGTCACTAGACTGAATCATCTCCCTACCCAGATGATGAACCCATGGGATTGGGGCTGTTCCCAAACCAGAAAATTTTAGACTACAAACTTAGGCCCCTGGGGAATTGGCTGCAACCATCTGCTTTCTTGGAAACCAACGAGCAAACGGCAACTGTCAATTGTGTTCCCTTGGTACCGGGCCCCACTGATATTCTAAACACAATACTAAACTGAAAATAAACTCCTAAATGATGTCAGAGTCAGGAAAGAACTGCATCCTGAGCATCACTTATGGCCAACTCTTGATTCTTTTCTTATCTTCCTCTCCTTTCCCAGGAAACATATCCTCTTCTATTCATGGCTCAAAGTTCACACAACCAGCATCTTCCAACTCAGCATGCCTACTGAACTTGAGTCACTTTCACAGTGAAGGGAAGGGTTTAGTCCTGGCCCTGCTCCTTTATGGCTAGGTGAGCTCCAGGGGACCACTTTCCACTCTGCCTTGATCTTCCCCATATGCAGAGAAGAGGTGGAAAGCTATAAATTTCTCCACATTCTGATGAGGAGAAATCTGATGAGAAGACTTTGCTTTCTTCTAGAGAACCAGTGATTCTGATCATTTACAGTGTAATACCTCTAACTGTAGGTGCTGCTGGCAATTTTAGAAGTGTAGCATGTTCCAAAAGTCCTCTATCTACTTTACAAGCAATGATTAACTTTACATGTCAAGCTGATTGAGCTAAGGGATGCCCAGCTAGCTGGCAAGACATTATTTTGGGTGTGTCTGTGAGGGTATTTCTGGGAGAGATTGGAATCAGTGAGCTAGTTAAGAAGGTCCACTTCCACCAATGTGTAGGCATCACCCAATCTGTTGAGGGCTAAGATAGAATTAAAAGGTAGCAAAAGGTATATTTGCTCTCCATTCCTGAGCTGAAATCACCATCTTCTTCTGCTTAGAAGATTTACACCAGTAGCCTCCCAGATTCCCAGGACTGAGAATTATGCCTTGCACACTCCTGATTTTCAGGTATTTGCACATGGAGCCAGTTGCACCACTGGCTTTCCTGGCTCTCCAGTGTGCAGACAGTGCATGGCGGTACTTCTTGGCCTCTATAATCATATGCTGCAATTCCTGTAATAAATCTCCTCTGAAGTGTTTTTCTATAGCCTGTTGGTTCTGTTTCTTTGGAGAATCTTGACAGCTGCACTAGATAAAAGGCCACTGTGGGGTTACTGCCTGGAATAGCACCAGGAAAGCCAATCACCTTGTATCCACAAATGATGCCCCCAAATGGTGCAAACTGGTAGGTACCAAGGACATGGTGAGAATCACTATTTTTGAGTTTCTCAGTTCTTTGATGAATGTGCTAATCTCCTAATTCCTCCCTCCAGGAATAGGATGGGGTTCTTGATTTTACTAGAGCAGGGAAACTGTAGTGGCTTCTCCTCGGCCTTTCTAACTTAGCTCCTTTTTTGTGGGTTAGGACAGCAGTGAGTTCTTGACTATATATTTATAGCCTATACAAGGTATGATTGAAAAATATCCTGAATATTTAAATTTAAAAATTATTACAATAAAAGACACATTGCTATTAATTATCTTCAAAATATTCCCCTCCACTTCAAACACATTTATCCCATAATTTTTGCCACTTTGTGAAGCAATTCTGGAAGTCCTCTTTTGTGTCTTTAGTTGTGCTGTCATGGCTGAACATGAATTGATTTAAAATGTTTACTTTTCATGATCATTTTGATTTTAGAGAAGAGCCAGAAGTCAAATGGTGCCAGATCTGGTGAATATTGTGGATAAGGACACGCTGTAATGTTTTTATTTGATAGAAATTGCTGTAAACATCAATTCAGGGCATCCAGGCAGCCATGAAAAGAATCTCATGAAAGAGCACTTCCAGAAGTGTTTCAGAAAGCAGCAACAATTATGGGATAAGTGTGTTTGAAGTGAAGGGGAGCATTCTGAAGCAGTTAATGGCACTGTGTTTTTTTCTGTAATACATTTTTAAAAACTTAAACCTCCACCCTAAATTTGATCACCCCTTGTATTGAGAAATTCCAGGATGGATTTAAAGTTTTCACTAGGCTTACTATGAAACAAAATTGAATAAAAATTCTATTTATCACTTGACTCTTTAAGCCATTGCTCTGTTTGCTGAACTGCAGTAGATTCTGAGTCCTAGGATTTGGCATTTAATTAAGGCCAGTGTCTAGTAATTCCTCAGATATATGTTTACCTAGTAAGAAGGCAGAGTTCCTTTGCAGAAAGTTTTACATTGGATACCTTAAATATTATTATGTAAGTCTTGGCTCCTCCTTTAAGGGTACTTGGCAAGTGCTCTATTCAAAGGACTTTAAGTTTGTTCAGATACAAAAATTGCCATGGGGACTGCAGCAATATTTGTGGCATAGTATCTTCATCTCATGAGACCCAGAGCTAAGCAAATCAAATAGGTCTTCAATATGATGCCAATTTATTTAGGGTCTAAGGTACCCAAGGGCAAGTACATTTTCCAAAAGTCCCTTCAGATCAGAAACTGCAGCACTGGCCAGGTATGGTGGTGCACGCCTGTAATCCCAGCCCTCAGGAGGCTGAGGCAGGAGGACTGCTGTGAGTTGGAGGCCAGTCTGGGCTATGTAGTGAGTTCAAGGACAGCCTGAATTACCTAGTGAGATCCTGTCTCAAAAAAAAAAAAAAAGCAAGCAAGCAAGAAAGCAAGAAAGAAATAAGAAAGAAACTGCAACATTGCTACCTATTCTGAAGAACACCTCTAGCTTGCAGCTACAGGTACTGTTCTTGCAACTGGCCATATCCTAATGAGAGTTTCTTCATCTCAGTGAAATCATTTCACCTGGAACTTCTTCCATCTGCCTTCCTCATCCATGGAGAAATGCCACTGAAGCACCTTTCGCTGACTCTGGCACTTTTAAAAGCCGGTGTTCAGATCAACATGGTAATTGTCAGTAGGGGGTGAATGGGTCACATATGACAAATCCATTCTTGTATTCTTATCTCTAAAAGGCCTTGGTTACTGTCCTTCACTAATACCATGAGACTTCTGGAATTTTAACTTCTTTTTGTCATTGTTGTGTCCATGTTTCCATCAACAACTCCCTTGTGCACAAGTTGGACAATGAACCCAGGACCATTGGAAAGATTCCCTGTTGATAACTTCACCCAGATTTTTACAATGCATATTAAATATATTCATAGTGGGGAATGGATGTGATTTAGTAATCTCTCTGGATCCAGCACTCTTTACCCTCTTTGCTCTGCCTTACTTTTGTCTGGATCACTTATCACCATCAGTAGTTACATAGCACGTATCACCAAGTTACATGTGTATTTCTTTGTAGTCTCTTTCTCCCTGACCAGACTGTGAACTCCAGAAAGGCAGAGACTTTGCCTATTAATTTCACTGTTGAAACCTCCGTATCTGGCACCTAGTAGGTGCTAAATATTTTGCATGCATGAATGAATCTATTTCTTTTATCTGTCTTCTGTTAAGTAAGGCTATATTTGGAAAGGTGTTATGCTGCTAAAAATGTTTCAGATGTCTCTGCCGGACTCTGTGGGGACAGAGGT